TGCATATATTGAAGGGTGAAGCCCTAGCCATAAGCTTAAGCTTTTGGGTTAGAATTGTGGATCCCGACTTTATATGCAAATGGTTAGTTTTATCCGATACTCTATCCGTTGTTCTCGGCCCGCCGGAATTTTAACAAGTCAATCAATATAATTCAGGACAATTAATTTGGAACCAATAGATTAACTAATTAGAAAAATTCAAACCCAAAAATAAAATAAAAATGTAACTAGAAATGCCTCTTTGTTTTTGTACTGCAGGAAGCCAGGAACTATACCCTATACGAACATAGTGGAATTGGTGTGAATGTATGAATTATGATGACAAGTCAGAGAGCATTAAATAAAATGGGGCGTGAAAATGAGATGTAAATCGCACGGAAAATCTGAGGCTGTTGGGGTCAACAATGAATTTCATTTCCTCAAAAAGAGGGTACAAATCCAAGAGAAGATCTCAAAAGTGTGACCAAAGCCTGATTGGTAATAATTAAAAAATAAATGACAAAGTGATGAGATAATGCCCCTTAGATTTCCACAAGATTTTCAAATACTAGTTCCGACTATTTATTCAGTTTTAATTTTAAAAATTCTTTTTGAATAAGATTAAAAAAAAATATTTGCACTAAAAAGCATTAAAACTTAAATCATTTTCGTAAATAGTACTTAAACTATTTTATTCTCTAAATAGCACTTAATAATTTTTATTATATATAGTGATGACGAATATATCCTTAAATAATGACTAATGCATAATGACTAAAAGTGCTACATTATGGAAAAAAATATGTGGTGCTATTTAGAGAAAGTCATTATATTTTAGTGTTATTTAAGTAAATTCTTCATTAAAAAATACAGCAGTAAAATATCAAAATTGACTTCCTATGTCTTTTTAGACCAAGATATGCATAACAATGTGGTGTAAGTATACACGTTGCTAGTTTGATGAAAAATAATGACAGCGTAATATGTCAAATTGATCATTAAACCATCGACGATCCGTAGCGGCCCTCTAACCGCCCGCGGTTACGGATGGCAGTGCAATGTCCAGTTTTAATTTTAAACAATCTATCTAGATAGAAATGAAGGAGTATGAAAAATACCAAAATAGGAGACTTAAGTTTTTTAAGACTAAAATATGACTTATGAGTATAATGGTAGTGTATGTTAGAATATAAATAACTATTCCTCGGTCACAACCACAAGCTTGAGCTTTTGGTTGAATGGGTTCCTTGACATGGTATCGGAGCCTCGTTGACTAAGAGGTCACGAGTTCGAAACTCAGCGCCACCCAGTTTAAAAAAAATTAAGGTTTCACGTGCAAGGCTCGAAAAAGACTACGCCTGCACGTGAGGGGACGTGTTAGAATATAAATAACTATTCTTGGGGCACAACCACAAGCTTGAGCTTTTGGTTGAGTTGGTTCCTTGACAGTGTGTTGTAAATATACGCGTCGGGAGTGTGATGAAAAATGCATGGCGGTGTGATATGTTAGTTTGATCAGTCAACCATCGATTATCCACGGTGACACTCTAATGGACGACGGTGATGGATGACAGTGTGGTAGTTACAATGTAACAATTGGTGAGTGTGACAGTATATCAATGACAGTATGAACTTTTGTTTTGATCTTAAAATACTTATGATTTATATTTTGGTATTTTCGTAATTTTTATTCATATCTAGGGAGTTCTTCCATTAATATTTCTACTTAAAATTGATAAATTTTCTTATCATGGATTAAATTAAATTGATAATAGATATCAATACAAAAAATAAGTTATTAGATTTATCTTATATGGTATTTTTAAAATAATGTCTTATCATATTAATATGGAGTATATCATATGATTTTTATATAATTAAAAGTCAAAGATCGATGGTTGTTCCAAAAAGAAATTTATTTTTCACTTTTGAACATGTTTTCGTGATTCATATACTTTTTTTCTTTTTTTTTTCTACACCATTTTTCAACCATACAATTTACTTTTTTTATTAAGAGAAAAAAACTAAAATAAGAATAAAACATTAAAAATATACCAAGATATAACAACAACAATTAACAACCCAGGTGAATCTCACAACAGTAGGGTCTGGGGAGGGTGTGTGTACGCAGACCTTGCCCCCTACTCGGAAGTAGGGAGGCTGTTTCCAAGGGACCCCCGGCTCCACCTACACAAAAATATGGAAGGGAACATAGTATAACACAAATAAAGCACCAAGTACAAGCAACAAGTAAAAGCAATAATAGAAGATTTCAAACAAGTACAACACACTACAAAACAACCTCTAGAACACCGAGCTCCTATATCCATCTACTCTAATCATAGTTTTCCAAATGTTCCTATCTAAGACCATATCCTCAGTCAGGTTGAGAAGTTCTAAATCCTGCCTAATCACTTCCTTCCAATTCTTCTTATGTCTACCTTCCCCTACCAAGATATAAGTTTTCATTTATTTATTCCCAAAATAAGAGTTAAAATACATGTACAATATCAATCATGTCAATATATAACACCAAAAAATATTGTGAAATATTTATGTACACTATACAATATTATCACAATACAACCTTCAATTTTTATTAAAAAACATGGAACTTCCATTTTAGTATTTTTTTCTCTTTATTTTACTTCTATGTAGGATAATTTCTTCTTGATTAATGTATCAAATCAAGCATAATGCTTTTTTTGAAAACTTTTAACAAATCAAACATAATACTCTTTGATCTTAAAATTAATTTCTAATCTGATTTTTCACGGTCTATACTGCATGACTTTGGCCATTAATATCTCTGTTTATATATAAAAAGGTATTATAAAAATAAAATATTTTAAAATTGTGTTTCAAAATAAATCTATAGATATCAAATTTATATGAAAACTCAACGTATTTTCTGTTATATGCACTCAAGCTAAGGTTCAAAAAATTTGATCACAAAAATCAAACTAAGAAGTTATTTTTATGAGAAAGAATGGATAAAATAAAGTGTCCATAGAAAAAGTCTAATATTGCGCCTTAGATTTCACAAGATTTTAGAACAAGGAAAAAAGTTAAAAGATTCTCTTATGATGGCCACCAGTAAGTAAAACAAACATGTTAGTTATATGAGTGATGCTTTGGGTATACTAAAATGTACACCACCATCTTCATTACTATTCATTTTTATTTATTTATTTCTTTTTTATTTTACATGTTAAGGTGTGTGGCAATGGAAGGTGTGGTGTATCTCCGTTATTGTAGATAACGTGCAGATCTTTGTTGTAAGCGATTCGAGATATAACCGTTAAGAAATCTCGAGATGAAATATTGACAATAGTTGTTTGTCAAATCTAGTATGGTGGCATAGTGTTTTGACAGGGTTTAAGATGTCGAGACTTAGAGCATTCGAAAATAATTAAGAAAGATCCTTAAGATACTGGAGTGGAGATTTCCCGAAGCAGTATAAATTAGCTTATTAGCATGTTTTTACTTTATGCTTTTTTTTTGATAGCTACTTTATGCTTTTTACTTATGTGTTATGTTTATTGTTCATTATTTGCCAACACCAATTTATTAAACTCTGAAAATGTTTTTAAATGTCTTATTCACCCCTCCAGGGCGTGGACATATCGACAAACAAAAGGAATAACCATTTAAGATCAAGTGTAATTATTGAGTATAAATAATTATTTTGAGATACTCCGTAGTAATTAAGTTGGTAAAAAAATTGGCATCTGCACTTTTTATTAAAATTTTACTAGACTTATACATAGTTTTTCCCTTCTATATATGCGTGAGCTTCTCTTTATTTTTTAGTATCAGATGTCCAACACGACACCTCACGTGGTAATTAGTCTAATGTATGTTCTAACCTAGTTAGCACTTAGACATGCAAACAGGTCTAACCTCTTAATGACTTTATAGTTAGCCTAGAAAATAATGGAGTGCCAAAAAAAATAACGACTTGCATATACCGTCAAGATCGACTATTGATCTAAAGCTAAGGTTCAAACTAATAAGTAAGACTTCACTTTTCTATATATGTTAGTAATACTTATCTTTATTTTTTATTTTCTAATGTGAAAACTCCAACATTTTCATATATTGTTTAACGTTCAAAAAATTAGTGAAACAAAAACAATTGAATTGTGTGTATTTGCTAAATAAAAACAAAAAGGGGAATGAAATAATGGATGAAATGAAGAAAACTTAACATAAACTAAAGTTAAATAAAGAAAATATACATGTTGCTACGTCAATAAGACATTCTTATGTGGTCGTGGATTCTACACTTATTTTATAAACTTTAAATTATGAAATAATTGAGACATTGTCGTTCCACCCCACAAAATATCTTCCTTTTTAGTTTATTTTAAAATTCTGACTTGTTTTAAAAAATGTTTTTATTTTTTCCTATTTGAAGAAAGAAGTTTTTTTTTTCAAAGAAGGAGATGTTTTTTTGTGATAAAGTAGATAACTATTATAACTTTCAATAATTAAAATATGCAAAAAAATGATAAAAAAATGACTTTTCATTGCAGATTATGTCATTCCTTCAACATCACTCGCTGATTGAATTATTTTTAAAAGTCTACATTTTTAATGTTATCATGTTTCATTTCATTTTTTGATTTGTCATTGACATTGGCATTACTCATATACCTCAAAATTGGAATATTTCCATGAAAAAAACATCCCATCATATATCTATTTTTAATTTCCTTCAATGTCTCCACTCTACTCTCTCTCGGTATCTTCCTCCCTTCTGTTGCTACCGCGTTTCCAACCCCCCCCCCCCCCC